AGGGCAGAGGTGAAGACCGGGACCCTGTCGACGCCCTCTAGGAGTACGAAATTGCGGCTAGGAGGCTGTCCCCGGCCGGCAGGAGGGCACCCGGAGTAGACCCCCGCCGCCAAGGAGCAAACCGAAGATGCAGACTGCGAGCGAGTTCCGCTCGGAGTCCGTGTGGAGCGAAAAGAGAGCGCTCGGCGGACACCCGGTACTCGGAGCTAGGAACCCAGCGCGGGTGAGAAATAACTCCAAGGATGTCGGCGCCCAGGGCAACCCGGGGACGCAGGCACCGGAGGAAAGCACCTGGCTTCGCAGCCGTCCGAAGCATCTCGGCCTGGCCTCTGGCGCCGCTGCAGGGTCCGGCCGCCCCGCTCCCTAGTCTGGGAAAGGAGGCGGTGCCCGCTCCGCCCCGCGCCGCGCCGCGCCCACCAGCTCGCGGAAAAATTCGTTGCGGAAACTAGAGCTAGGAACCTCCATCCTCCCTTCAGCTTTCTGTGTTGGTACGTGTCTATCCGACCTTAAAGAACAGAATCATCAGGCTCCGAAACTCCAATTAACATTTGTTTTGCTCTCAAATACCCTGATTGACGAAAAGCTTAGGAGGCTGAATTATCTTGTACGACCTCTGCCCACCTCAAGTTCTCTTTCACCGTTTCTCCATAAATCTCAGAGCGCCATCCCCGAGGACAAATGTGAGCTGGGTCTCATCATCCCGGTTGGTCCTCCCTGGACACATCTCCAGTCCTTATCCTAGACAACCTCTGGAACCGCGTAACGTAATAATGTAGGCACAAACCCAGACTCGCCTCTCTTCTCTTTAGCGGGATGCGCGGGGTATGAATTAAATCCCGAATCCGGTCGGTAAAGACCCTATGCGAGCTGCCTGCTCCAACGGCTCGAAATCCTAGGAGGCACGCTCCACACTCGAAATCTTTCCTCCCTTTCTCTTGCAGGGTCCCTCGTTTAAACAGCGTCGGCGCCTTTATTCGCCTGACCCTAGGCGAAGGAAAACCCGCCCGATCGGTCATTGTCTGGTCCGCGACCGCCCCCGCCCCCGCCCCAATCAGTGTCACAAAAACGCCCCTTTCAACGGATTCCAAACCCTCTTCACCCGGGCTCACCGAGCCTTCAACTTCATTAAGTGCGCGCTACGGCGGCTCTGGAGGAGGCGAAGTTTAAATCAACCCGAGCGGAGAGGGAGGAGGGGTGGGCCTGGGGAGGGTTGCTAGTTGAAGAAGAGAGAGAGAAGTGTTTTTGAAAAGGGGAAAAAAGTCATCAGGGGAAAAGCGCTTTGTAACCACGAAGACGCGCCCGCTGCGGCGAGAACAAATTGGAAATGGAGGGGAAGTGTCCGCCCCCACCTCAACTCTGGCTCCTGGGTGGTCCAGGGAGCCCCAGGAGAAAAGAAAGATGGGGAGGAATCGGCGGTGAAAAGAATTAACCACTTTAATTGGGCTGCGAGAGAGAAGTAGGGAGAGGTTCACCGATGTGCCTCGATCACCCAAACCAAATGCCCTTCAATAAAATAAAATAAAATAAAATCCCTTCCCCAACCGTGGCTGAAAGACGTATGTCAAAGTTTGAGAATCAAGGCTGTTCTCGGCCCGTAGAAAGTAAATCTGCAAGATGGGGTAAATTCTGTCCGGAAAGACCCCTCCCCCTCCTTGTGGCCTCGGGCCTCCCGGCGCCGGATGAAAAGGAATGAAATTGAACGAAATTGAACGAAATGAAGTGAAATTGACCAGTGAAATTCGCCAATTTTCTTCCCCTTTAAACTGCCCGCTCTCAAAAGCACTCTCTGAACCCCAGGCCGATTTCTTAGCATTTTTTTTTTCTCACCTCGAGAGATGAAGGTGTGCCCTGGATATTTTCTTATTGTCACCGATTGTTGGGGACTGCGGGGGGTTGAAGCTCAGCTGTCTCCATCCAGACAGGAAGGGAACCCACAGAAGGTGCTCCAGATGGGATGGCCTGTTTCTCCTCCCAGGGACCTGGTCTCCTAAGTAAGCCGCCTTACACTGAACACCTACACTTTGCACCCACAGGGAGGGAAGGAGCCACTTACCGCATCCCTCTGGTCTGTGTGGGGGAGGAGTTGAACACAAAGAGAGGGCTCTATCTGCAATCCCCTCATCCTTTTTCTTGCTCTTCCCTACAGTCCAGGTCCCAGGTGGGTCCTTGCCAGTTCCTAATTTACAGGTTCTGGGTCCACACAACCTAAAAGAGTCTCAGATTCTAAACACCCTCCCTTCTCGCCTGCCTTTAGTAGTACGGATCTCTCAGCAATTCTTTTCCTGTATTTTTCAAGGGCAGTTGGGCATCTGTGGTTTCTTTCTGCCTCCCAGTCCTCAGCCATAATCTGAGCCAGATCTGGCCTTCTTGACCCATGGGGAAACTGGGATCTGAGTCATGGGTCTGGGGCCTCAAGCTTCTTAGAAACCCCTGAAGGGTGCATCTCACTCTTTCCTGATCCTCTTATTTCTACCACTTCCTGATATGGACCCTCTGACACACATATACATAAAGGCAATATGCTCAAATGAATTTACACACACATTTACTTTCACAAACACACACTGAGGAGTCCAGAAGGATCTGCTGCTACTCCTGGAAAAAGCGACTGAGGCCCTATCTTCTCATCTGCCTATCCACCATCAGATATGAATTCTGACTGAATTTTCTCTCTTCCACAGAGGAAAAACTAACCGATAAATATTTTACTTGAAGCTCCAACCTAAGATCTGGGAGTGACATATTCATGGTAAATGAGATCACATAAGCTACAAAATGCTTTATTCAGGGCAAACACACACAGTCATGTTCAACCTCCCTCAAATGAAAAGAAATCAAAGTCAGCAAGGAAGTCAACCAAGCAACCCGCCAGAGCCATTATCACCATATCAGCAGGCCATTTCCCTTTCTACCACTAACTCTAAAATCATGGGAAGATGGCCCACTGCTTTCGACCTCCCCACCCTCCCACAGTCTCTCAAGGACAAGGATCCCTCTCTGGCAGAGGAGCCTCATTTACTACCTGCACCTCCAACCTTGTCTCCCCTCTGTTAGGGAACCACCTGAGACACTTAGGAATTCCAACCACTGTTCCTCAGCCCTGATGCGTTCCCTAACCTGATCCTGATTCTGACCCTCCTCCCTTAGGGCACTCTGTCCTCTACCACCTTCTCCTTTCCTGCTGTTGCTAATGCCTGGGACTCTGGCTAAAGAGGCCTGTGGGGCTTCTCCCTGCCTGCCCCTCTCAAGTTTTCCAGAGTTGGTACCCTGACCCTGTCTTCCTCTTCTAGCTGTCACTCTAGCCCAACACTCACCCTCAGCATGTGTCTATTTTCCCGTGATGGCTGGAATGCCTTGTTCTGCACCTTCGTATCTCTCCTTCTCTCCTCTCCTTCTCTTCTTCTATCCTCAGTTGAATGTACAAAGAGCTGAGTAACCATCTTTGTTGAACCAAAGCATCCCCTCCCGACCAACATGCTTTCGAGTCTAGCCAGCTGGAGTCCCAGGCACAGGCAGCAAGCTGGGAAACTCAGTAAGTTTATGGAAGGCTCCAGCCATGATTCCCAATGGTTTTGCACTTCAGCAGTACGTTCTGGCTGTGAGCATGGCTCAAGGGTTGGGAAGGTTTGCCTTAACAGAGTAGGACCGCACTGCCTCTCTCTTTTGGCTCATAGTGCACTTCTAACCCTCTAAAGCCAGAGGAGAGAAGGGTTTCACAGTCCCCCATTCAAGCTATTTGTACTGACCTGTCCACAGCAGCAGGAGGGAGGGAGATCCCCCAAAAGGCTCTACAGTGGCTAAAGAGAGGTCTCTCTTCTCTTACAGAGCCAGAAAAAGACAGTGACAGAGAACCACAAACATAGAGACACACATACATGAACACATAAAGAAATAAAAATACAGATATCCTAAAATTCAACTCACTCCCTCCCCCCACAAAGGAGGACAAAAAGCAAGGATACAGAGGACCCTCAGAAACACAAACTGGAACAAGCTCCAGGAAAGCCTCCGCACACAGAGGCATACAGAATACGCATCAAGAAACACATTCACTCCAACTGTACTTAGTGGGTAGAGTGTCCATGAGCACTGGGCTCCCAGATAAGACCAGGCCTCGCTGAAGTCTAAACCAGATGAGAATCCTCCGGTGCATTTGAAACAAAACCTCGGCTGTAGAACCCCAGGCAGACATTTAGGACCAGAGTGAAAATGAAAGTGCTAAAGGGGTCCCAGGCTTCCCAGAGTCCTAGCCCCATCAACAGCCAAAGGCTAAGGCCACAACATTCCCAGTATCCAATAAGCCCAAGACCTCCTTTACCTGTCTGGGCTGTGCAGAGCTCTTCCCCACTCCCTCTCTACCTGGGAGCTGGGTGTCTGGGAAAGCCCTGACTGGAAAAGGGGAGTACAGGCAAGCAGACAGAGCTGATGACTGCCAGAGTTCACATACATTTATTCAACTGACACCAATGGGAATGGGGGGGAAGACAGATTTTTCTTTTCTTCCACACAAACCATCAGACGATTTCACAGAGTCTCCCCTCAGTGGGGAAATCTAAATCAATTCACACCCAGTGGACAGAGAACGCAGATAGCAGCCCGCTGTACAGATATTTACACGTAATTACAGGACCCCCTGCCACAGGATGTGCTCTTGCCCACCCCACCCCCACCTCTCCAGTCCTTGACCCAGACCCTCCTGTCCCACCCCAACCTCATTGCCTTTAGCTACAATAAATATCCCAGGGCCTGGGACAGAGCAGAGCGCTGAGAGGGCCGCTGGCCCTGGATGGCTGGACCCAGCCTGCCATGGGAAAAGGGGAAAGTTCCTTTAAAAGCACCCCAACACAAAAGAGGGAAGATGTTCCTCAGTGTAGTGGGATCCCGGGTTTCTGCGGGGACTGTGGAAACCCCTCGCTTAACCTCTCCGTTCAACTTCGCCGGTGTAGACACTGCTTTAGGCTTCAGAGGAAACGAGCTTTCTTGGAGAACAGCAAGAAAAAAAAAGTTGAAATTTTCTTTTAAGCACAAAGCAGATAATAGGTATCTTTAAATTATAATATCAGACAAGCAGGGCCTCAAAGTTGGGGAAGGAGTGAGGGAGAGGCAGAAAAGGAGACCTCTCTGTGCAGTTGGTGTTTCTGATGGAATCGGTAGGGCCTGGGCAGACATCTCTCCAGGAAAGCATTCCTCCCGGGCCTCTGAGAGGCGCAGAGGCTGGGAAAAAGTGAAGGCTCCTCCGCCCCTTTCACTGCTCATATTGGAGTGGGATGGATCGTGGCTTGCGAATTCATCGCGTAGACCTGGGCCTCTCCCTGATCGATGGAGCCCGCTTCGTCCCAACTCTCGCCGAATTTCTGAGCATGGAGCCTGAAGTGCCAAGTCACGAACGCCGGCCCAAGGTCTGGAGACTCTTCATAAATAGACTCCCTGAGTTCCGCTGGGACCTCAGGAGCTCCCGGGAGAGGCTGAGGAGTGCGGGCCTTACCGGCCCTGAGCTCGATGCGGTCAGAAGTGGCAGCCACTGAGGCCGGCGACTTTGCTGGCAAACGGGGGCCCTGAAGACAGGAGCGCGTCCCCGGGGTGAGAGAGGCGGATGTGGCCGGCCACTGGAGCCAGGGCTGGGGCAGTCAGCATAGCCAAGACCTGGGCTTGACCCCCAGGACCTGCCGCCGCCGCGAAAGGCGATCCCGGGGAGCCCTCGCCTCCGCCCGGGGTTGCTGCCCCGCCGCCGCCACCGTGGCCCATGATGTGGTCTATAGAGAAGGAAGGCCTCTGCCCGGCCCCGGCGCCCCCACCGCCCGCACCACCGCCTGCGTCCGTCTTGAGGCCCTGGCGCAGGAGTGCGGTAGACAGACCGGCCGCGGTGCCGGCTGCGGGAGGGCTCAGCGACGCGGGATAGAAGGCTTTGGCGCACCCCAGCTCGGCACCCAGGAAGGCTGGCAGGCCTGCGGGGCCGGGGCCCGACCCTGCGCCTGGAGCAGGCGCGGGGGCCGGAGCCGAGGCTGCGCCCGCGAACACCGAGGCCGTCGGAGGTCCGGGTGGAGGAGCAGCGGCGCGGCCTGGGGGTACCGACAGCTGGCAAGGCGCGGTAGCGGCGGCGAAAGCGAAGGCGTGCGGGTGCGGATGCGGGTGCGGGGCCGGGCCCGGTGGGGGTGCGCCGTAGGCCGGGAGCGCCAAGCCGTAGCCGTAGCCGTAGGCGCCGTAAGCGGCGAAGCCCGGCAGGAAGGCGCCGGGGTCCCCCGCCGCCGCAGCCCCGCCACGCAACAGCAGCTCGGGATGAGGGTGAGCGTGTGGATGCGGCGGCGGTAGCGGCTGCCGCTTGAAGCGCTTGCGGCGCCGCAGGAAGCTGCCGTTGTCGAACATGTCGGCCGACTCCGGGTCGAGCGTCCAGTAGTTACCCTTGCCTGGGTTGCCCGGCTCGCGGGGAATCTTGACGAAGCAGTCGTTGAGCGAGAGGTTGTGGCGGATGCTGTTCTGCCAGGCGGGGAACTTCTCCCGATAGTAGGGGAAGCGGCCGCTGATGAACTCGCAGATCTCGCTCAGCGTCAGCCGCTTCTTGGGGCTCTGCAGGATGGCCATGGTGATGAGCGCGATGTACGAGTAGGGCGGCTTCACCAGCGGGCTCCGCGTCGCCGCGCCCCCCGACGGCGGTCCCGGCCCGGGCCCCGCAGCGCCCCGGGCCGCCGCCGCCGCCGCCGCGCCTGGTCCGGGGCTTCCCGCTGCGGCCGCCGCCCCCCGGGGCGCTAGAGCGCGGGGCTCGCCGTCCGAGCAACCGCCGGACTCCTCCTCGTCCTCGGCTGCGTCCTCCTCGGCTTCCTCCGGAGGAGGCTCGGGGCCGTGGGGGAGCACGTCCCGGGGGGCGCGGGGCCCGGAGCGGGCAGGGAGCTCCCCCCCACCGCTGCCGCCGCCGCCGCCCACCACGTCTATGTCTGCGTCGGCCTCGGACAGCGCGGCCGGGGAGCTCTCGGAGGACATGATCTCGCAGCAGCAGCTGCCCAGGGTCATGGTGCCGCCGCCGCCACCGTCGTTCTCCGGCTCCGCTCCGGCCGCGGCTCGGGCTCCGCCGCGCTGCCTCTGGGGCGAGTGTGTTTTGCGCGCGGGCGGGGAGGGGGCGGGGGACTGAGGAGGGTAGGGAGGGGTGTCCCCCAGCTCCGCAGCGCCCCCTCGTGGCCCAACTCGCAGCTCTCACCTCCCGGTGAGCATCCGACTGGCCGCTCTCCCCGCCGCCCCGGGAGCCGAAGCCCGGCGCCCGCACCCGGGGCGTGGGCGGAAGGAGCTGAGGCTTCCCCTGACCCTGGCGGGTCTCGGCCCCCAGTGCCCCCGGGATGGGGGGGTAGGGGAATTTGTCCCTCCCGCCTCGCTGCTGCCTAAGGCGGAAGAGCGCGAACCCGGGGCGGAGCTCCCCGAGCGGGGTGGGGCGGGGCGGGAGGGGGCGGGAGGACTGCCTCGGCGGAGGGGCCCGGCGGGAACAAACAGCGGCCACAGGCGGGAGCTGGCTCGGGTGGCCGGAGGCGGGTCCTCCTCTGCCCGCAGATCCCGCACACGCTCCGCTCCCCGGAGCCGCCGCCTGGAACCAGTGCGCTCAGCCTCTGGATGTTGAGGTTCACGCGGGCGCCATCCGGCGCGGGGAAAAGTAGGGACAGCCCCCGACCCTTCATCTATCCACGGCAGCGCCCGGGGCCACCAAGGCCGAAGCGCAGTTGGAGAGCGAGCGGGAGCCTGAGACCGCGGGACCGAAGCCGCCCGAGCGGGGCCCGCCGGATCCAGAGCGGCTTCCGGCCCTAGGGGAGACGCACTTGAGTGATCGCGAGGAGCAAACTTGGCGCTCTCAGCCTCGGGCCTCGGAGAGGTGAGAGATTCCGGCTGCGCCCCTCTTCTCCCTTCCAAAGCCGAGACCCCGCCATACATCCTCTTGCCGCGTCGCAGGACCCCAGACGCAGGAGTGTGTGCGGGGAGACCCGGGGAGCGCGTCGCCGGCGCGTCGCCCTCTCCGCGAAGCTACTGTGCGGCGCTCCCGGCAGTATTCCGGGGGCGCGCACCGGTCCATTGCTCTGAGTTTGTCTGCACTCCGCCCCTTTCGGTCCGGGTATCCGTTTGTTTTGGGCTCTGTGACTGTGTCTTTCGCCTTCGGTGAATCCCTGCCTCGTTTCCTGTGGAAACCCTGCATTTGTTTGGGTGTTTCTTCGTGGGTCCGAGAATCCCTCGCTCCATTTCCCTACCCCCAGCCGCACTGCAGGGCTGCCCCCCCGCTTTCTGGCCGGACTTGTAGGCCCTACGGACCGGCAACAGGACCCCTAAAGACACCTTCCTCAATGAGCCCTGACCTCAGCCCCAGGCCAGCGTTGCCTCGTCTCTCAGGAGCCCCTGCACACAAGGTTGGTCCTTGCCCTTCTTCTTACCAGCCGGGTTTCTGCCCAGCCCATTAGGCTCCTTTCTCCCCTGGCCAGGAACCCAACATCCAGTAGACTGGGCCCATCTCAACCCTGAGGGGTGACAGGAGTAATGGGCATGGTCGTGGGCAAGAACTGAGCTGATGGACAGGCCGCTGCTCCGCCAGCGCCGCGCAGTGGTCAAAGCTCCGGCATGCGAGGCCCGAGACCCAGCTGCTGTCCGCTGTCATAAGGCTGTCTGACAGCCACCAAGCTACTTTCCCTACCCAGCCTGTTTCCTGCTTTGCCTAGGAGTTAAGAGCAGAAACCCTGACGTTAAGCTGCTGGGATTCTGGTCCTCACTCTTATTTACCAGCTCTGTCATGTTGGATACATTTAACTCTTTGTGCTTCTGTTTCTTTCTCTGTAAAAATGAGATTTAAAAGCAACTACTTCGGGGTGCCTGGGTGGCTCAGTGGGTTAAGCCTCTACCTTCGGCTCAGATCATGATCTCAGGGTCCTGGGATGGAGCCCCGCATGGGGTCTCTGCTCAGCAGGGAGCCTGCAAAAAAAGAAAAAAAAAAAGAAAAGCACCTACTTCATGACTAATATGTAAAAGTAGTTCTGTCACTCTAGACTATTTATGAAGAGGGTATTGGGAGCACTTTGCAGACTCTTGGGGAGAGAGGAGACAGGCGGGGTGTAGTCTCCCACCTGGATCTCAAGCTCTGGTCTAGCCCTCACTAGGTTACCCCCCTCCTGGGATAACGGTTATCTAACCCTCTGTAGTCACTGCGCTGAATCAGATCCCCTGTAGAGAGGTGCTGGGAGCAGGGTGGGAGGGATCTCCTGGCCCCTACAAGCTGTAACTCAACAGGGTTGATGTGGGGGCAGATGCATTCTTTCCTCTAACAGTTTCCAGTCTATGGAATAATCTAGTGTAAATCTAACTTTCCCATTCCACAGTTGGGACAACCAGAGGCCCAGAGGAGGGAAGGGACTCACCTAGGCTCCTGCAAGATAGAGCAGGGCCAGGTGCTTATCACTTAATCTTTGTGATGGAGTCTCTATCCTCTCAAGCCATCTGGCTGAGAGCAGAGGAGAGTGGAAGCAGGTCTGGCTGCTCCTATCCAGGGAGAGAAAGTCCTTTGTGGCCCCTACACACACTCCTCAGACCAAGGGGCCACCTGGTGTGCAGGGTCTGCCTAAACAGGCTGTCCTCAGGAAGGAGAAAAGTGGTCTAGTCCTCAAACCATGGACGAGGAGTTAGTCAGGGGTAGTGGCTTTGGGGAATTGGAATTTTCTAGGTGATAAGGCCCTCCAGAGAAAAAGGATTGGTGGGGGGGGGGGCACTTTGGAAAGAAGTGTTTTGCATGAGTCCAAATAAACTCACATACCTAGGGTTGCTAGGTTTAGCAGATTTATTTTATCTGGTCACCTTACTCATACCCCAAGCTTGTGTATTACTTCATGGAGATCTCGCTGGAACTTGCAGATACCCCACACTGTCTACCACACATCAGCTCTAGCCTGACTCTACTCTGCTAGTAGCTGAGAAAATGGGGAGGAAAATCAACATTGGTCTTATCTTACTACACCTCACCTTCTGAATGTCTTCATTTCTAAAATGGCAGGCAGGAACCAGTCACTTCCCTCCTCGCCAGCACTCTTGGGTTTCCCAGGCTCCAACCTCCTGCCCAGCTTCAGGGTCAGACTGGCTGAGGCATTTTGTGCCCACGTAGCCCAGGTTCCAGAATGTAGGCAAGACTCCGAGGAGCAGCTGCTAGCCTTTTCCTCTGCCTGGCTCTCCTGCAGGCGCGCTGCTGCTCAGACTCAGGTTGGGGAAAAGGGATACAGGCCCCTAGCCCTTGTTCTGCAATGTAGGGGTGGAACATGATCTTAAGGAATCATCCAGACCCTTCAAACACACGTATACTTTTCCAGGAGTGCAAACAGGCTCAGAGGTCATGTGACTCAGCCAGTCTTTTGAAGTGCTGCTCCCAATTCCCAGGGTTGGGTTGGACACAGGTGTCCAGACTCACAGGCCAGAACTCCTTTACTTATCCAAATAACGCTGCTTAGCCCCTGACCAAGCTTGGGAAAGGTGTTTCTGGTAACCTCCCATCCCTCCCAAGGTTTTAGTGTAAATCTAGATTTGTCTTGAACAATGTCAGGAGTAGGTGAGTGGGGGGCTGGGAGAAGGTCCACCAGGACCTTTAGAATGCATTCAGTTTTCTGCGCTTCCCCCAGGCACCAGGCTTTCCCACCTGTGGGCTCAGCTTCCGGTCACATTTGCTATCTGGGTGACTCTGTCACTTCCCTCCAGGGAAAACCTATGCTTCAGCCCCGGGGCCTGAAGCCTCCAAGAAGCAGGAGGCCACAGGCTCTGTGCGTCTTGGCTACAGTGTCACTAGTAGAGTCTGGCCTCTTCCTTCCTCTGCCTTACTATTTTGCCACCTCCTTCACGCAGCCAAGAAACAACTGGAGGCTTTGGGGGGGGGCGCCTTTTGGGAGGGAGGTCCACCCCAAAATGCTCGGACAACCGGGAGTTGTTGCCTGTTTGCTGTGCTGTGTTGCTAGCTACCGGTGGTGTCCCTCCCTTCATGGCTCCTCTCTTGCCTCCTTATGGTCACCCTAGACGTACTGTTCTGGACTAAGGGAAAACGACAGCTATCAGATGGTTTTGAGAGAATCTAAAGAAGTCAGTCGCCAACGTGGCGAAGAGCGGCCCTGAGCTAAGGGGGAGGCGGGGACGCGGAGCGGAGCGACCTCACGCGCTGCCTTCCCGCCGTGTGAATTCCGCGAGCACAGCACGGCCTCCGCCGGGCAGGGGGACCCCACGCGCGCACACTTCTCTAATTTTATTCACAAACTCTGCCAGCCTTAGGGAAAGCTGCGAGACGCGCGCAGTCGCCCCTCTTCCCGTTCCGCCATCGGGCTGCAGCTCTGCGGTGGAGAGACAGTTGTTTGGCGGAAGCCCGGACATCCCCGACCCTTTTCTTCACCCAGATCCCCGCCTGTTCCTGAGCGATCGGCTCCCTTGGCCCCGGGCGGGAGGCGGGAGACTCCAGATCGGGAGACCTGCGGGGACGAACCCCGGCGGCGGGGCTCCCCTCACACAGGAGCGGGACCCCGGGTCAGAGTTAAGAGAGAGGCCGGACCCACAGCAAGCACAGAAATGACAGGGCTTCCCGCGTGTGCGCCTTCGCCCCAGCCGACCACCCGCCCGACCCAAGCACCTCTGAACTGCTCCCCACACCTCCACGGACCCTCCACTTCTCCGAGAAAATGTCTTTCTCTCCTTTCACCAGGCCCAGCCCCGGTCGCCTCCCGGCCCCCCTATCCCGGGACGACGTCGTAGGGGGCTCGCTTGAGCCCGGTCCGGCCCCAGCCCTGTGCCGCGGTTGAGACCCGAACGAGCTGCGGAGCCTGTCGACTCTGGTTCGCGAGAAGAGGGTTGCGGGCCCAGGCGAGGGTGAAAACAGCTCGGCTCCGCAGCCGCCCAACCTGGGGCCCTGGCTTCGCAGCGACCGCAGTGCGACAAGCTCCCCTAGCTGGGGAGACGCACAGCTGCGGGCAGGGGAGAAGGGGACGCTCCCAGGTGTGTCGGAGCGTCAGCTCCATGTCTGAGCGCTCCTACGGTCTAAGTGCGCCCTGGGTTTCTGCGAATGAGGGTCTCTTTCTTCGTCCCTCCGAGGACGGAGCTGTTTGTCCT